TAAAACACTGTAGCTTAGAACACTATTATAATACAGTAGATGCTTATTATTTTTTTATGGGTAGCTGTAAATGTTTACTACGTGGTAAATTGTTTTAATTACATTTTTTGTGAAATAAAAAATTATATTGTTTACTTATTTTATATTTATTTTTTCTTGTACACAAATTATGAAATGCCGCACTACAACAGAATTTTACTGTTTGATTTATGCGAAACAATCTCAAAATAAGCGTATTTTTTTCTCTAAGATGTAATAAACTCATAAATATATTATATTTATTACAGGATATCAACAAATAAACGTTGAAAACAATTTAAGTTTAGTATTAAAAAAAAGTAGATTAATTGATTTGAACATTTTATATTTAAATTTAAAATCTTTAACGCAGTAAATGAATTATTATTTCCGATGATGTATTGAAATCGATAAAAATAATTATAATTTTAACTCGTCATTTAAAAATAAATTATTTTTACTTAATTCCTTCTAATTGAATTATGATTGAAAAGTTCTAATTTTTTACTATATGCAATGTTGAACGTTAAGCGTTTGTAATCTATCAAAATTAGTAAAAATATAATAGTTAAAAAAAAACAACCGAATTTAAATATTTTTAAACATTTTAATCAACAACAAATTTGGAGAAACATATTAACCATAATGAGTACAAAATTATTGTCTTTTTGGGAACTATAATATTTAACGATATATTATATTCTTTACTTAATAAAAATAATAATTATTATGAACGTATAGTATATGGGATGATTCCTTATAAACTATACACTATTTTCTATATTAATTGTATGTATTGTACTAATATTACATTCCGTGCTATGTTAGTCTATGGCTATATACATTTTAAATGTTTACCATGCGCGAATCGAATTGAAAAAAAATAAAGACGGAACAACACGGGGTTTTAATCTAAAGGCCGTTTATGTAATATGGGGTGTATGCAAAAATAACAATAAATCTAACAATAATAATAAATCTTCTAAACGGGTCAGAGAAAAATGGGTGATAAACAGCTTGTAGAAACTTTGAACGGTCGTGAATAGATTTTTGCACCCTTCGCGTGCATGTGAACACCTTGTAGCCAAAAACCCAACGGTGGTGCAGAGATAAGGAACTTCCGAGTAACGCAAATACACAAGTGAACACATAGTCGACGTTGCTTATCGCCACAAACTTAACTAGAAAATTTAACGTTGTCGTGTGTGACCGTGCCCGCATTTATTATGCACACAATCCGTAACAATGTACATCACAAAACCACCGCTATAGAATTAACATGACCCCGTTCAGCTGTTCACTGTTGTATTTATCCGCCTCTTTTACCATAAGGATTCAACAGCGTGGAGTGCTGTAAACGTAAAAAAAAGAAGCCAGCTAAGGGGGGTCGATGTTTAATGAGGTCGGAGTATGACATTTTTTTTATAAGATATCCGATCTGTAGACTTGGTACATAAAGAATTCGATCAGGGGGTTAAAAATATCGTGGAACCACACACACACAAATAATTAGATCAAAAACTCATCACTGCAAGACTGTTTTTGCAAAACTTTAACAGCTCAAGTTTATGTCTATGCCCTATAGAAAAGTATTGTCACTGACAAATATCCAATTATATTCACTAAAACTTTTGTGTGAGATACAATAGTATAATCATACATGCAGCTGATATATTAATGATTTAATAAAAAAAAGGAAAAATTATGAAACGATTGGGGTAGTATAAAATGCTGGTGACTGGTAAATATGTATTTGTGTGAGTGGGTTATATTGTAGTGCACGTGCGGTTTTATAAAGAAAGATTGAGTGCACATTTCGCCTGAAGGACTCGACAGTTGGCACAAACATGAAATGACCATTAAACTAAGTGATACCGTCGCGTTGTACAGATTGTCTCTGCTTAGAAAACAGTCGTCGAAATTTTTTTTATAAAAAAACTGTTAAATCAAATTTCAGGGAAAATTGTACGTTATATTAACTTGTTCGAACATGTACACAATTGTAGATGATAAAATAATGAGTATAAAAAATACTTAAGAAGAATTAACGAGTTTCGAGTTTTCATACACAACTGATAAACTAATATAAAAAACTAAATTATGATAAACGAAAACCTGGTATACTGGCTTTATGGTAATGCAAAAGAACAGTTTCCATTTTAAAATACTAAAACAAGCGTTTAAGTTTGACCAATATCAACTTGTGTATATACGGGGGTAAGAGGTTTAAAAGTAAAAAAAAAAAACTAGTATGCAGGACTTATTGTAATAGCAATAAGTCAATGACGATAAAGTTCAGGGTTCGCGGTAACGTTGACGAACGTGTAAGGAAATCCCAAGAGTGCAGCAATATACATGTTTTTCAACTAAGCAAATCCAAATCGTGAGTAAAATCGGTAAAAACGATAATAAAAATACTGTAGCATAAAATAATTTGGCCCGATGTCAAAATGAACAAAACTACCTTCGAGCAACGTACTTCCGGGGCACTTTTTTGTCTTCTAGCAAGTACATAATACATATACATATATATGTAGATTCAAAGGGTGGAGTCGCAACGACTTTAAAAACTTTCAATCGTTTCTGTCATGCACAACGCCGAACTGTTTAAATTCTCACGAGCGCGCACGCCGCACCGTACCGGGTTTTCTTATTTCGCTCCTTCTCGTTCCCCGTACTTCCTTCGGGCTGGCGTAAACTATGCAGGGAAGACGGGCATTAATACGATGTGGGGGGGGGGGAAGGGGGAGAAATGATAACTCTCTTTTGTATCGCCCTTTTCGACGGCCGCTTCCCGCGTGGATGGAAATTAAATTTCGTCCAATTTATCCGTCAACGATGTGGCTAAAGGCTGAGAAGGTTATTTACAGAGAACGCACTTACACCACCGGCCGAGTAGGTAACGTTTAAAAAAAACCGACCAAGTGCGGCGATGTGCCATGCTGACTGGCGGTGGCTGTGGCGGCGGCGATGGTCGAAAAACAGCGCGTGAAAAGCAGTAAAAAAAGAATTATGATTTTATTATACCGTCGTTGCTCGTGTATATCCACCCTCGGCAAAGTGTGTCTGTACTACACACAGTGCTATTCGCCTCTATACAATATGCATGAAATTGCAGGTTTACCGAAATGCCGTAGTCGGTTCTTTTCGCGCGATCGCACTTCTCATCGTACACAACAACACGATTGCTAATAGAAAAACTACACATAAGGGAAACGTACCTATCCAACAATAAAAAAAAAGGTGCGAACAAATGAATAATAAAACGGTTTGGCGTTTTCGAAAAGCGATGCTGTTGAATTATCATACGCTCGCATGTTTCATTTAATAAGCGTACAGAATTGACGTTCAAAGTTCATAAGTCAGCCGATAGCAAGTGAAATTTGATCAGTTCCATTATTCGAGTAAATGTCATAAGTTAGAAAAAGTAAACAAACAATACAAATATTATGCATTTTCTTAAAATACTAGATAAAAAAAAAATTGTTACGCATTCATATGCTTAACATTGGATATTCCTCACAATATTTTTAAAAATAATTATTAATTATTAAATATAATTGTTAATTATTTTTAAAAAGGTGTAGTCAATTTTATATCCTATTGAAAATTATCTCACCCCTGCGTTGTTAAATTACGCAGTAATACACGATTTTGGAACAAGATTCAAATTGCCTACATTAATTTTGTTCGCTAAATCCAAATCTGATCTCAGCATTTTTCTAGGAGGTCTAGTTATATTCAAATCGCGTTCTAGTAATTAAATTAACATCGAATTTTGTGGTATTTACAGCGTATTTTGGAATTTTTAATAATTTTTCTAATATTTAAATATTTAAATTATAATATTTTCTAATATTTTAAAAAGGTTTTCATCCTATTTTCTTTGTAGAACTTAGAACTGGTGTTCAGAAAGAATGTTGCAATTTATATAGTTTTTTATCATAAAAGAAAATCAGAAAATTTTGATCTTTTTTTTTTAATTGTTTATAATTTTAGAGACGATTAAAATCAAATTAACTTATTAGAGAAATGCTAATGTAAGATTCGGGTTTAGCAAAAAAAATCCTATAAAATGTATTATTATGGGCTTTGTTACAAAAACAAGGTAAAGTGTTGTATATATTGCCATTAGTAAGTATGATCTAGTAGGTACAACCTAGCTACGACACTGAATATTGATTCAAAATAAAATAAAATATGTTAACCCGGTATTGGTTTTTTTTTGGCTTCTCTAGAATTATCTAAGCGTTAAAATTAAGCAGTTATATTATTATAATATGTCAATAATTAGTGTCAACCCATTGAAATAATAAGATATCAGCAAATTCTTATTTACAAATTATGTATCTATTTATAGAATAATTTTAATATTATATTTTATAAAAAAAAATAGTTGGTCTATTGAATGTGGGCCAACATAGGAAGCGCTAATTAAGATATAATAATATAATTTGCATTTATTGCCAAATCTTATTAAATTTCGAGTAATAATAATTAAAAACTGATCAATGAGCACTAAAAATTTTAATTAAACCATGATTGTTGAAATAAAGGAATTGAATATTTGCATTACTACTTGAAAAATACTGTTTTATAATAATATAATCAGTTTGAAGTTTGAACTTAAAATTATTGGAATATTAATACTTATCACTTTGTCTCGAAAAATGTATAAAAACAAATAATTATTGTATTTGAATATTATATTTACTGGTTTATAGTTGGTGAATCACTGTTTATTGTTAAAAGCAGATTAACAGTGAAATAATTATAGAATTATTTTATTATCATTATTCATTTACCTCGGCATCTTGACCTTTAACATTGAATAAATAATAACTATTACTTATATGTTTATTGTTCACTATGCAAATATTAAGCGAAATAAAAATAATAATAATACAAACAAATAAACGTTAAGCATGCTAATACTCATACTAATACTTAAGTGCGTGTATACATCTAAAGTAAAAACTTACCAAGAGTCTGTCCCAAAACTGTACGAGCGTCTTCGCCAACACATGCACTCCGAGCATCAAAGGGATTAGTGAACTGAACAAATGCGAATCCTTTGTGCATCGATATACCTGTGACATATTTTACCGAGAAATTCGTTAATGATGTTATAATAAAATCGCTTGACTTAAACCTTTGATATATTTAAACGTTTAATCATTTTTGGATCGCTAAACTGTACGTAGCGGGTAGCTGTTCTTTGTAGCTATACTTTGTAGTGCAAAATCATAATAAACATACACCGAACTTGGTATATATTTTAATGATGATTACGTTATTCGCTTAAAGGATGTCATATCCTTTACTTAAATGTTTATAGGAGGTGGATAAAGGAATATTTGTAAATCTAAATTTAACAATAAAACTAGTGTAGTTGTATACTTGTATATTTTTATACTAGAAACAGCAATGAGGAGTTATTGCGAGTTAATTTTTTTATACTACTATCATAGCGATTTTCAACGGTTTTCACCGTTTTTCGCATTTATTTTTTTAAAACTCTAATAAGTAATTAAATAAGTATTTTAAAGGAATTAAAAGCTCTGACACTAGGATATTAGAGGCTTAAAATATATTATTTTCTATATTTTTCCAAAGTATTACAATTTTTACATCTAAAATTACGGTTGTATGGCGTCCTCTTAATAATAATAAATATTGGGGAACAGTTTATACTGATATTACTTAGAAGCTATACCATTAAACGTATAAACATATTTGCAATAATTATTTATAGATGATAATAGATGTATTTAATACTTGATAAATTGAAAAAAATGGACCGAAGTCATGAATATAAAACCTTGAGTATGAGTCCTTATTATGAAATTTAGTTAGATGTTATAGGTAGGTACAGTTGAAAAAACGTATTTATATATAAATAATATGCTTGTGATTTTCAAGAAAACATTAACCCATTCCTACCAAATATGACGTATTCAAATTTTTATGTAAAATATATATAAACGCAGCTAATGGTTTATTTTTACGAAACTCATGTTACAAAATAAAAAAGTTACATTAATTTATTTATTCTACAACATATGTAGGTAGGTACATAGTATAAGGGTTTGTTAAAAGGTATAATGTCCAGAGAAAAAGAACTGACACAAGCAGAAAACAGTCCATAGAGCTTATAGGGTCTATAAAAACACAAAACATTGGTTTATGTGTACGCATGAAACAAGGGGTAAAAAATAATACCAAAGACTTCTAAAGAATATCAAGTCAGTTTTGACAAAAAAAAAAACCCAGAACTTTTGATAATACTGCTGTTTTTATATATATTATACTCTCCTTTGCTGTCATCAACAGGCACGATACAGTTTATATAATGGTGTTCTATATTTGCTTTTACTTTAAAATCTTTTGCCAGTCATAGGTGTATGTATTCAGTTTTTCTTCAATAAAAATTGATATGTATAGGTGCTAAAAAAAAACAATAATAACACTTCAAAAGTTTATTTTGATTCTATTTGAATCGTGAAATTAATTTTTTTGTTTAGGCTATAAAGTTGTTTGGCAATTTAATATAATTAAGTAAACCTAGAAGTAGTTTTATAATCATCTAATAACAACACTGGTGTTTTGATAATTGAATAATAATGATATTGAATATTGATAATCCAAGTAAATAATATTCCAGCAGTCAGAAATGGCCTAACTAAAAGTATAATTTAGAATGTTAACTAAACATACTTATTTAAGCAATTATTTTTAAGTTTTTTTCTACTCATCTAAACTAAAATAATTATTAATGGACATTCATTTGATTTTTAACGTTTGGTAATAGTTTTTGAAATATGATCTAATTTATACACATTCGTCATTTACCTATTACGTTTTAAAGTACTACTAAAGATGAATACATTTGTTCGTAAAAATGTAAAGTCTTTGTACTCTTTAAATGCATCCACAATGAGGTAGGTAATATATTATGAGTTAAAACGTTTCAATTAAAATGTTCTCAAATAATTATTTTTTTAATATTGTCTATCTTCTTATCTGGAAAGTGTATAATTTTAAATTTAAATTTAATTATTAATATATTTAACAGTTTCAATCGATGTGTAAGGGGTCTTGGCAATTTGGGAAGTGATACTGGCGCAGAAGGTGGTGGTGGAGGATCAAGCAGCGATACAGGAGGTGTCATGGATAAACGTGAGGCCGGTCTCGAGGGAGAATATTTCAATAAGGAGGTTATTTTTAATTTACAAAATCAAAACATTCTGAAAATAACTAAGAGCGCATATTGATTTTTTTCCAGCAAAGAGACCAGTTAAATAAGTTAAAACAAGAAATTGATTTTCAGAAACAAAAGATAGAAAAACACATTGAAGAAATGAATAAAGCTAAAGCAAAATTATTAGACAAATAAAATTAATTGTTTTATTAACAGCATTAAATACTGTTAATATATGAAAAATATAATATCTTCAAATAAAAATCACATGAATAACATTTCAATTACTAAGTAAAATTATGAATCTTCTTTTGTTATACAAGTGATACAACTCGTCTGTAGTTTTTAATAAAGCGATGAACACGTGAAATATTGAAAACTATATGTTTAACCATTACACAAAATCAATGAAACTATCAACTAAGAAATTTAATTTTAATCTACCTATATTACAAAATTGGAAAGCTGAGAAATGTTATATTATGAATTTATAGACAGGCAGAGTCAGTCGCGAATGCGTCAGAGGTCTTGGAGCTTGGAAATTTAACAAAATACACAGTTGAGATAGATACCTACAGCCCTCAGTAAAATTAAATTTCACATTTACTATTATATTTTAATATTATATTATTTTCATTAAAACAGTAATATTCCTATCCATATATATAAAAAAAAAATTACTTATTTGTTATTCATTTTACTTAATAAGAAATCATAAAAAAAATTGATCATTTTCTCCGCTACACGAAAAAACGTTGAATAATGGATATGTTTTTGGTTATTTCCTTGATGTAGTTACCTGCCTTAATAAATGTTTTGTAATCAATGACTCCGAAATCCCCATTCAAAGCTGTAAGTATTGATATGAGATATTGAGATAGTTTTAATTTATAACTCTAGAATAACCGGTCGAAAAAAATACAAAAAGTTTAGACTCACGGACGGGGATTGAACCGTGGACAGGTCGCGCTAAACTCATCAGACTAGGTCGACGCGTCTCATTTCTTGACACAAAAACGTGTCGCAAATATTTTCGGTTGTATATCAAGTTCAAAAACATGCATGTTAGAAAAAAAGAACATAAATACAACTTGTATTTATGTACTTACAACTGACGCGGTGCCTAGAAATGAGAATCGACGTCTTACTTACATACGGTGCCCAAAGCGCGGGTTTTAAGTACATTCGTAATCACTAAGATAGATAACAATATATTGTTATCTATCTCAGTGCTCGTAATTTGTGTTAATCAAACGAATCTTATCAATAACAGCAGGAGACCTGTCAGTTATCACTTATCAATAAACCGAGTTCTTCATAATAAAAACACCTATTATTATTATTATTATTGTTAATGAATATTTATTAGTTAAAAATACCAAATAGTGCTTCAGGACGGATTAATATGTATTTCATTTGTATGTAAATAACATTATATATTTAGTAAAAATAATTGTTTTTATAGAAAATCTACCAGAATTATGAAGGTAAGAATCATAATATAATATGATTTCTATTGTTTTTAAATATTAAACTTTGTTTAGTTCAACATTGGTTCCACTATGCTTTACCGTCGTAATGATATTTAGATTCTTATATTGCATTATATTTATAGCAGTTAGTATTGTTTTACGCCTCAAATGTTGTATACATTATCTATTCATAAATTTAGATTATAATATATGCAACTGCTTTTGTGTTTCTTTGTTTGATTTAAGTTTAATATGTATATTATAATATATGTTTGATTTTGTGATGTGTCGTACGGCTACCCGTAATACTGTGTTTGTCATTATAAATGGTTGTTTCTCTCTGATTATGTAAACAAAAAATATAAGTATTTTAAAAGAATTACATTATAATGTTATAACTTAATTACTATTAATTTACCTAGTAATATACTGAAAAATATTAGTTTGTATTAGGAATAATTCAAATAAAACTGCCTCAAAAGTATTAAAAATAATCATTTGTTTTAGCTATAACATTTCTAATGATTGAAACAATATGCAATATATTATTATGTATAATATTTTACCTTTATAATGATTATCATATTATTCTTAAAAAAAAGTTGCTGTACAATAAATGCATGAAAACATAATATTATTATAGTTGGGTAAAAATATTATATGTATGTAATACTCATAGTACACTAATAATAATAGTTCTATCGGTTAAATCAATAATATAATGCATTTTTAAGTGATAACAACTACACTTTTTTACTTAAAATCGGTACTTTAATGTGAAATACAACTGTCTAAATATTATCCTTAATAATCTATTACTAGACATAAAATAATGGGAATAAACTTATAGTACTAATTTATGCTTCTACTATGTCTCAACCCAATTTTTTTATTATTGTTTCCTTAAATATAATACATATATTTTAATATTGTTAAATTTTGCTTTTGCAATTTATCATTTAAAAGAAATAAAAATTCTATGTCTGTAGCGTAGTGGTATAAAGTGTCAAAATTGGGACTAGAGGTATTGGGTTCGATTTCCGTGTACTATGAAACATATCTAGATCGTCTCTAATAAACATGAGCTGTGCTTACTCGATGAAATGTTGGCAATATACTCAATTAAATATTTATCCATAAGTAAGGGCGCTTGATTTGGTACTTATACATATAGGTAATCATTTAAACAAATAATAGTACTTCACGTCATTTTGATTACATATAAAAGACCATTGAAAATTATATTTGTTTTTAAAATTGATATGAAACCAATCGGACATACTATTGAGTTCATTAGTACTTATTATTCTTACAAATTTATGTTTAATTATTATATACATACACTGTATCACTTTTTTAATGTTGACTTTTTTTTAATGAATTTAGTTTAAAGGGTGTTTTGTTAATTAGCTAAGTGTTTAAATTACTTAAAAATTAAAATTACATGATCATTTGTTAATTTTAATAATTCATACTAATAAAAAATCCAGCACAGTGAAGCTTATTGGGTTTGGGGAGATTACAGGCCTGCTAGAATTTTTATTAATGATGCACATACCTAAGGTGATGTACCTACCTAATAAAATAATAATAAAAACCCTTAACCATAAATTACCTACCTAATCACCATCCAATTAATGCTTTGATGTGAATCTGGTAGATTGTATGTGAAAGATGGTAGAAGTACAAATATTGATAAAAACGTTGTAAAAGTTATAAAATTCTTGAAATTATATTTTAAGTATTAAGGTAGATACGATTAATGTCTCTCTATGATAATTTGTTTTAGTTGTTACCCGTATATCATAACTAACAATATAACCTGTTGACTGCTGATTTATTCACACATAGCAACCTAGAATTTTACCACGGTTAATGTTTAAAATTCCGCATTTTTTTGGTTCTTCATAAATAAAAAAAAAGTTTGACTACATATTTTTAAAAATAGTCATAAATGATATAGCCATTTTAGATCCACCATCTATCTAATTTTTAGACCTTATTATATTCTTGTTCTATCCTATTAAACCTAATAAAACCCATATTTTTGAGTAAAAACCCACTATTGTTTCTTTTAATTAGGTTGTTTAGAAACATTTTTATAGTGTTATATATTCTAACTGCAAATTTAGACGCATTTTTGGATGCACATTTAATATTTTAAAATTAATTGCTATCGAATTCTTTGACAAGTAATACAAATTATGAAAATCTCACCGACGATCATGTTCAATTATATAATATGAGTTTTTAGTTTAAAATACAAGTCGTGCAATCGTTGTTGTTGCGTGCTTAAGACACATATTTTAAATATGCAAAACGCGGTTTGTGCAGTGACTGTTCTGGTTTTGACATATATCATCTTGATTTTTGGCGATGTACTTTTCTGACGGTTTTTGTATAAAAAACAAGATATAATTGTTATTTCACTCAGAAATTTAAACTGAAAAAACATGTTATGTCTTTTTTGTATTCTAAGATTAACCATTGTATTATAGTATTAAATTTTTAATCTATTACGCCAAAGCTCATCATCGATTTGATTTGTTGTTTTTGTTTTTTTTACTTGGAAATCTAAATAATACCCAGTAAATTTAATTAATTGCTCTGTATAAAAAGTATCGTGAGAAGTTAGATAATAATATTAGATTATCTATTTTGAAGATCAATAAAATGTATTATATTTTGTTTGCAATGGCACAAATGTTATTTATATTATGTTATTCACAATTTATAGCTTTTACGGAACACGTAAGGGGTAGATGTTATACTAATTAAACAAATCTAAAAAATTCATAATAAAATTGTCTGGAAACAATTTTTTGGTTAAAATTCGTGTTTAGGTTTTATTTTTTTTAAATAAACATTTTAATGATTTACTAAGAGGAATGAAATTATATTTTATAATTTGTTCGCAAATTTATAAACAACAAAAAAGTAGTAAACAAATAAAATCCGATCATGTGTAGTTCTTTCTAAACTACTAATAATTAATAAATATATGTAACCACTAATCACTTTTCATTAGTAATATTTGTAAACAGTAGGTATTAATTACTGAAAACTAACTTTATTAAGTTTTAAACGATCTTTTGTAAACTAATACATTAATCAAATAATTTCGTTGTATTTCAGCTTTAATGCGGAGCTGAGAGGGTATTGTTTCTTCAATTATATATTTTTATTTATTTATTTTTTAGTGTCTGAACACAAGATATTTTTAAACCTCTAAACTGATTTATTTGTTTAGCAACTGTACAGATCAGAAATCATACCTGAAAGTTACTTTGTTGGGCCAAAAATTTGTTATTCACCCCTTCCCCTTTCAAAATTGAGAAAACCAACCAAAAAATTAACATTTTTCCAATTTAAGATTACGGCGCTCTATAAACTTTTAAAATAGTCCAATTAGATCCAAAGTTGTATGGAATATTCTTTAGATTTAGTTCTATCGATAAATGTTGACTAGCCAAAAAAATATAATTTATTCTTTCCTCTAAATGGGGTGGACATTTTTTGTAAAGTTTTAGGATTTAAGATTTAAAAATTAGACTGAAGGTAGATCTAGAGTGCAGCTATAACATAAACAATTTTCTCAAAAATCCGTAGTCAAACTATTTTTATTATTAAATAAAAAAAAATAGAAAAATTAAACTAACAGTAGTAAATTTTTAAGTTGCTACGTGTGAGTGAATCAACAGGTATCTGTAACATATTTTCATTATATTGTTGATTATGATTTATGGATATTAACGGCAATAAATTATTATAGACAGACGGTCGACCCTAATCGTATCCACCCTAGTACTAAAAATACAAATTTAAGCACATTAGAGCCATTGCGGTAATACTTTTATCGATATTTGTATTTCAGATTCGTACCGAAGCGTTTTTGTCTTGACCCCACTGTACTGCATTTTTTTAAAATCAAACCGTTAGGTATTAATGTAGTATCATTTTTTTTCTAGTACCATTTGGCATTACTAGCGAGACGTGGTATGAAAATTCCTCTAGTTAGGTTTGCGTCCAGTTCGACTCCAAACTTTGATTGGGAAGATGCTTTGAACTTGGACAGTAGTCTGACGTCGGAAGAGAAGCAACTAAAAAATGCATTTCGAGATTTCTGTCAAAAATCATTATTGCCCCGAGTACTCGATTCGAATCGCAATGCTGTTTATGAGAAGGAAGTTTTAAAAGATTTGGCTGCCATGGGTGCGCTGGGTTGCACTATTGGAGCCTATGGCTGTGCCGATGTGTCTCAGGTCGGATACGGACTCATTGCTAGAGAAGTCGAGCGAGTCGATAGCGCTTACAGGTTTGTGTTCATCTGAACAATATCATGACCAACGTGTATCATTATAATTTTACATTCAATCGTTATAGATCGGCCTTAAGTGTTCAATCGTCCTTAGTTATGCACGCGATCAATGCGTATGGTACGAGTGAGCAAAAAGAGCAGTATCTCCCGCGTTTAGCTACCGCCGAATTGGTGGGAAGTTTTGGACTTACAGAACCAAACGCTGGTAGTGATCCGGGATCAATGGAGACCAGAGCAAAGTCTAAGCCAGAATCTAAGTCTTATGTACTCAACGGCACTAAGACGTGGATCACAAACGCCCCGGTTGCAGACATCTTTGTAATATGGGCCAAATGTGACGACAAGCGCATTAGAGGGTTTATAGTGGAAAGAAATATGCCAGGACTTTCCACCGCCGCGATACCCGGGAAAATGTCGCTAAGAGCTTCCAGTACCGGTTCGGTGTTCATGGACAACTGTGTCGTCCCTGAAAACAATCTTTTGTCCGGAGTCGAAGGTCTAGCAGGTATTATTATATAGTTATATTAGACGTGAATTCTTTGATGGTTACGTATTATGCTGTATAACATGAAACAATTGGGGACGGTTTACGTGTAAGATAGTAAAAAAAAATTAATTCAAATATTAATTATTTTACAGATAATAAATCTGATCACAGCCGTGTAGTTTGATTTTTTGTGTTTCTTCTATAAAAAAACGCACGACTAAAGACTTGAATTTAAGTAGTAATATTTTTTTTCATTTTTGGCCTTATGAAGTACCTATCGAATACACGATTTCTGATCTGTAGACCTACTACACGAATAAATCGATACGGTGGTTAAACAAATATCGGGTGTCCATACACACAGCAAAAAATATATAAATTCATTATTTTTAAACCAATATCTTCTCAACTCCAAAAATTCGATAGGTTTTGTTTTTATGAACTCTGCTACGAACATTCTTCGACCATATTAACACATGGTAGAAAGCGTCTTTGTGGTTATGAAATTGATGTGGTCGAGCGAATATATCATGCTTTTAAAGTATTGTCTCGGTGGCTCTATATTGGATAATGTAGTTTAGCTTTTATTAACCCATCACTTTATGATCAATAGGACCTTTTGGCTGTCTAAACCACGCCCGATACGGAATCGCGTGGGGTGCTCTCGGTGCTGCCGAAGCGTGTCTATCGATTGCCCGATCGTATTGTTTGGACCGCAAGCAGTTTGGCAAACCTTTGGCCGGCACGCAACTGGTACAAAAAAAGCTATGCGACATGCTTACAGAAATATCCATCGGGCTGACGGCCTGTCTGCAAGTCGGTCGACTGAAAGACAAAGGTCTGGCCACCCCGGAGATGGTGTCGTTGATCAAGAGGAACTCGACGGGCAAAGCTTTGGAAATCGCTAGGCTGGCCAGGGACACGTTGGGTGGCAACGGCATATCGGACGAGTACCACGTGATCAGACATCTGGTCAACTTGGAAACGGTCAACACTTACGAAGGAACGCACGATATTCACGCGCTCATTTTGGGTAGAGCCATCACGGGACTACAAGCGTTCAAGTGATTGCGCCGAGTACAACAAATTATGTAAACCAAGAAAATGATCGAATTTGTTTTTTATCGTACTATACCGATTATTTCCAAACCACATTTTTGTTATTGTTTACCTATTAACATATTGTTATTTTTAATATTATTCTATGTGTGCATGTAAAAATAAATGTTATACGAAAATTTAACATTTTACACGGCGCGGCGTTTACCCCGTGTATCCTTTTACGTTTGGCCGCGTGCCGTGACGATATTATGACGTGTTTAAATCCTAATAATCTTGCTTGAGGGTGAAAAAGGGAGGGGATTAGGAGTATACGTGACTGCTGTAATTTTGTGCGTGGAAGAGTAATATTTTTTACAGTCGCTGACAACTCACGATAGTCATATTAATAATTCCCCCGATGCCAAACTACGGTACCATGGCGTGTCCGTAAAGTAAGTAATAAGTATACAAGAACACACGAGAGACAGGTTTTCGTTATTCTACCTTTTGCCGGGCAACGCCGAGTGTAAGATAATAAGTTTTGTCGATCCATACATTCTAAATGAGCGGCTCCGATGAAGTCCGCGTTATTGGAATTTCGGACGAACGAATACATGAATTTCGGGGCCACGGTTTTAGCCACGCTTAGAAATGCTGTTAAATTAGTCTTTTGACAGCAACACGGTTATTCTAGCATTTGCCCCGTCATTTTTAAATCGCTAATAAAAAATACATTACACTCCGAAGAGTTTACTTTGAGTTCATAATCAAATATATTAGATATAAAAATAACCTTTAAAAATGACACACATTTTATTTTGTTTACTCGACGATCTGAACAAAATAACTCGAGTACCTAATAGTGGTAACAAATTTTAGGTAGGGATAGGAATTTTCAAAATCCAGATAAAACTTAAAAAAACTGGCGATTGTAAAATCCACCAAATTGCAGGTAATAGCGACTACGGTCAGATAAGAAATATGTTAAATCACCGCCAACAAAATTGTACCTGTAAATATATATGTAAACTCCACCGGTACGTATTTATTATGTAAGCTTTTTTATTGTCATACTATTCTAAATATAACAATAATATTAAATTAATTAATTAAGTTATACAATTTTACCCAGTTGGTGAACTCAAAAATATGGTTTAACACAAGACTATAAGACAAGAGCCGAAGTCGGTAATTGGCTTAAAATTTGTTTTGGATTAGTAATTTTAGACCCAGAAGATGTTTCCGATTTTTTCGCATTAAAATAAAATAAAACTGAGAGTAAATATGTCACGAAATTTACCGACTATTTACTTGTCACCTATAAATCGAAAGAAGCATTATTTATTTCGAATTCATATTGGCCGTAGCCCGTATGTAGTGCCGCCTTAAATAAAACTACAAACTCCTACGAGTTACCATTTAAACCAATTTTAATCATTTAGTAATACACATTCGAACATTCACTTTTTTTGGTTTTACATTAAATTAAATTAACGAACCCAAGAAATTTAGAAATTTAATATTAAAATCACGCCATCTATAGTTCAATAGAATTTTCCCTTTCTTTAAAAACAAAGAAATTAAAAGCAGTTTGTTAAGACTTCATATAAACATTACCGAAAGTAAATCATGTATATTTAAAATGTTAATAAAAATAACTTCACAGCAAAAAAATGTATTAACCGTTAAGTAGTAACAAAAAAAATGTTTTGGAAGACAATTTGAACCGTCTCCTTTTTAATACAATTTGAATTCGTCTTCTGGATAATGCTAAATGGACAATGGTTTAAGTACATAATATTATTATTGACACAATTAACTGGTTGAGTTGACATATTTTTTTGCAGGTAATTTTAGCTCACCGTCGGAATTTACATTTTTCTGGCATATAATTTAACTCAGTGGTGAAATTCACATACAAATGGGTTTTCATTTTTTAAGTCTTGAAAATTCCAATATTAAAAACGGGTTAAATAGAAATATAGTACGGTAAATGTATTTAAAAACGAAGAAATTGACTTAATATTATATTTTCTTATTCAGTTTTAACTTTTTAATTTTTTTTTCTTTCAAATATTTTTAATACAGATACATATCTACGATTTTATTCTAAAATGAATTTTAATAAGACCCTTAGGCTCCCTCCACTAGTACCTATAAGGTTATTTTTGTTTCGCGTTGAATTGATTATTCTTACCTATAGGAAAATCATACACATAATGTAACATATTAACATAAACCCTAGTTATATACATAATCGGTCGACTTAGTTTTTCCAACTTCAGTTAGATTAATATGCGTTAGATATAAATATAGCAACAATTAAATTTTCTCAAAAATCTGAGCTATTCTTCGAATATTATACTTACCTTATTATTCTTTATTTGTTGTTTAAAAATTTTTGATTACAAAATATTTGACATCGAAGCTCAACTATGCTTTTTTATGTCATCGCGTGCCCGAGTTCTTTTTTTCAGTGTGCAAGATAACCTTTCTTAGCTTTAGCGTGTTTAAAACTACTTTGGAACGACAATAATGAAATGAAAAATGCCGAACTTTTATTAACCACCTGTCACAAGTTTTTAAAAACCGTTCAAGTTGGAATCTAGTAAATGTATATTTCTTTGAGTTTGTACTATTCGGTTTTGTGTAAACATCTTTTATGAAAATAAGACAGGTCTCCACTCTTGTGCGTTTTGATTTTATCGTAAACGAGGAAATTAAAAGTTTGGAGAAACTTTGAAAAAAACTGAACTGTATTTGCGGAATATTAATGTGCACATATAATAACGAAAAAGTTGTTTAAAATGGTTTTATTCCAATTTACCATACGGTTAAATGAATCAATTTTTACTCTCGTGTCGTTTTGTAATTATTGTTATACCTCTTTTGTTGGATGACTTTTCGAGGGCAAACGCCGACAACCGTTTACAAAATAAAAACAAACAGCAAATCTGTTAAACCGACGACGCACTCGTTTGTCGAGGAGGTATAAACATTATATGATTTTCATTATTATTATTATTATTATCATACACGGACACGATAAATCGAGTGTGCTGATGGGACTGGGGATGGATGGAGACGACACGCACTAGAGGGCGGCAAGCGATATGTGTGCTTTGGGGGGAACATTATCTTGTGTGCCGCTATTTATGCGTACAATAGTTTGTTGTCGGCAGAACGTTTATCGGCGTTTTACCATTGTCCGCTGCCCGCTGGCCATCATCAGAACGCGCTATTGCCGTCCAGTGTATAGTTTTAATTTAACGCCATTCATTGTTTTACCCGCGCCGTACTACTACTGCTACTGCCGACACTCAGGGCCGCCCATACTTGTCGTCAAAGAGCTATTGCACTGTTGTAAATTATTGTTCCGATATTAAAAACGGATTTATCCGTCCCTCCACCCCCCGGTTGCCGGCAACGCATACTTAAACGCGTTATTAAATGTTTGTATTATTTACAGGAAATTCCCAGACTGCAATGTATATAGTGCGCGTCGTTCATTTGGCGATCCCAAAATGATGAACACTTAATAATAAAAAAAAAAAAAATCGCATAATACGTATATTCAAAACAAAATATACTCGAAAGGTTGCTGTATGGGTTGTAAAGGTCATCGGACTTTACGCTTCACCGAGGGTAAGCGTTATTATTTGAAATGCTCGTCATTTTCACTCTAATGCATATTTCAATACAATTATTGAACAACAATGGTATTTAGCCTTTAGGTATTTTTTAGGTCTTGATTTCAGACTTCGAGTTTAAAAACTACTTCTAAAAAGAGCAAAGGAAAATAATTAATAGTATTTTCTTGATTTTCTTCATTGTGCATCAATATTATTATGTATAAAGAATACCCCAAACAAGTTCGGAAATATTTCGATTACTTTTTCTAACTGCTCATTGGTATATTTTTAGGGTGTTTTTTCTCGATTTTAAAGAGCAAGGGTTAAATTTAATTCATCTTTGGCATTCGGGTACGATTTCTGGTCCATAGACTTGCTTCATAAATAAATCAATATAGTGGTTTAAAAGTTATCTTAGGTCCAGGCACAAAAATAAGAACCCCTCATTGTAAAAAAAAAATTCTTTGTCAGCTCCGCATCGACAGCTGACAATACATATTCAACTACTTAGATATGTATAAGCGATATTTAATTTAAACCATGACTATAGTTATCACACACAATATTTAAATAATATATTACATTTACAATATATTCAATTTTAGTAAAATGGTACTCAAAAATGAGGCCGTAAACCAAGTTATATTTAGTATGTATGACACTGCTAGGGCTACTTATATTTTATTATTTTTGAAAACACCCTTTTACTAATAGAATGAAACGCTAATGAAATGACATTTTTGCTAAAGGGCGTTGGGTTTTGTATGGGGATACCCTTTTGTAACTCAATACTGTAATACGACGTTTATACGCGACTATCTTGGGACATAGTACCTTATATGGAATATTATACGGCTCCTAAAAGTGAACATAACTAATCTTTTTATTAGATTTAAAAACGGAGAGGTAATTATGTAAACATGCAGAATAATAGAAATTCCCTTGTATTGATAAGTAAACTTTAATTTCTTTTGGTCAACTAAATTAAATTAATTTAAACAAAGATTTTGTTTTCATTAAAACGATAACTTATTAGTGATCGTTCTTAATGAAATTTAATTTAACAGGTTAAATTCATTAAAAACTAACATTGCTTAAGATACAAAAACGTGACGAACACAATATCGTTTAGTAGTTTAATTTTCTTTGACATCATTTTTTGGTAAGTAAGAGAAGATATAAAGGTGCAATATTATATTTTTTATAATAACCATAACAACTGTTCACTTCATAGTTCATACAAACATTTTTAAAATTATCATCGATACAGTAGTTACTGTAAATGCGATTATTGTACTGCTACAAAACATAAAAACATATGTGATGCAAAAAGTGAAAGGGACCTCTTGTCAGGCGATTAAAAAGTCGCAAACTTTAAAGTGCAGTAACTTGTTCATTTTTCTAGCTTAAAAGATGTACCAGGTCTCAAATTGTTCTCAAAATCGATCAAGTTTCTGAAAATGGTACTAACTTAATTTTGCAAAATTCCGACAAGATGTCTCTTTATGATTTTCGCATCACATATATAAATTGTAAGAAGAATTTCTACAGTATAATAACATAATATTGATAATTTACAAAATGTTGGTAAATCGATTGCTTTAGGCCAGACAGTAAAAATATTTCCATTATATACCAACACTTTAAGGTACCTTAAAGGTTATAACATCTAATCGAATCCTTTGAAGGTTGACTTATAATGAATACTCTTATACTATAACTACGGAGTTTATTAATTTGATTGAAGTATAAAATAACTAATTAACAACCACTATAACAAAGTTATCCGAAACTGCGCATGTTGTTTAACCTAATGAATACGTTTTTCAAAACTCAATTTCGATCGGTCGGTGTCATCAAAGAAGCGTATTGTTTATGTTATACTTAATAAAGGTTCAGTGAAATGTTAATTATATTGCAACCTAAACATAAATAGAGGAATGTATGAAGTTATTACTTACCCACTAGGCGACCGTATCTTTGAAACATCCTTTCTACGTCCGTTTTGCTGCATTGAAACGTGTTAAGGTTTCCCACGAAAACCCGCGAGTTCACGGCCTGAGGATCTTGAGAGTTAGTTTGGTTTCCCACTTTGCTCATCTTCATGACTGAAACGAAAATAAAAAATATAAACTATTTGAACTTCAATAAGAATTTCGTTGTACAGTATAAAGCGTTTAGTGGTTTCTTTAATAAAAAAAAAAACACCCTATTTGATCTTATATGTGCGTTGTTGTTTTGCGTGTAAGCAGTTTTCAAAGACTTTCTCGGGTAATACTGCTCTTTTGGCTCTTTTTTGTCGATTTACCATACAGGCCCTATTGTTGAATGGACACACTTCAGGATCTTTACAAATACACTAGCCAAGTCGGTGTTAGCGTTTTTCAATCGTGTGCTCTGAACGCGTTTAAAATATTTAAACGGTACTATAAAAGACATGGTCAGGACTGCTCAAGGTAAATAACAATATAAAAGAGCTAAACGAGAAGGTGGTTCTTATACCAAAGGGAACGCAGCTCCGATAGAAACGGCGAAGTACTAAGAAAAAAGACAAAAAAACAGTATACACCTATTGAGTCCGAAAAACGAAAATTTCCCAAAACAAATACATACATATAAATTGATTGATAAATAAATTGTGTTTAATCCGTTTGTGTGAATTGTGTTTTCGTTGGGACCATGAGAAACTCCAAGTAGGTTTTGGGTCAAGCACGAAGAGGTTTTTAATCCCGCGGAGGGACTATAGCAATTATCGCAAAGGACAAAGGGTTTAACCCCGCGAAATAAGGGTTTGTCGTACATCCGATTATCGCGCGGACACCAACTCGAACATTAAAATGACATGCGGATAAGACAGCTTGTGCAAAGTCCCAAGAAATGTACCTTGACCGTCGACCACTTTGCCGGCAGTTGTCACATTAAACATTGACGGATCTGCCCGATTGCCGTCAACGAGGACCGGCTGTTTATAAATAATTCAATATGGAAGATATGAGCAATTTGGGCAGAAAACCGACCGACCAATCTGGTCAGCGGCTGTGGCAAGATTTGGATTATTCGATTTATACTTCGAAGAGATCGCAGTCGGCTCCCTTTGAATGTTTTTCACGGCCTGAAGAGTGTACATAATAGAAAGTAGCGGCTTTTATTTAAATACTCGTACGGAAATCATTGTCCTAGGGAAAAAACGTTCGCGTCGGAAGCAAGATTAATAATGGCGAGCGTATAAATTTTACCCAAATACAAAATAATAAAAAAGAACGAAGAGAACAGCCGAATAGAACTCAACATTTATGATATTTTTCAAATGCGCTATAGTCAAAACAAGCATAGGTTTGACTAAAATGTATACAACTGAGTTGGCACTATTAGATACCAAACAGAATCGAGTATGGTTCAATCGACATTATAATATTTATTATAGAATCTATAATATAATTGAAACTTTAGTTTTACATTAGCTATACATAATATTAGTAATGCATAATATTTATAAATAGTTTAACAATACTGAAACTATAGGTTAATACTTGAATTTGTATTTGTAAATTAACTTCAATATCCGTGACAGGTTACAGCATATCGAATAATAATTGTAAACACCTACCGAGTGTTATTTGTTAGTGAAAACCAATTGGCGAATTGACTTTATGATATGATAACCACTAGCTAAAATGTATTTTTTATTATAAAATATATATCTGCTTCAATGGCTCTGTTGGCTGTTATAACACAGTCTTTGGCACATTACTTTTGAATATTATGATAATCGTTCGAAAAAAGAGTGATGAAATTGTGTAATTTTGTTCAACACAGTTTTTTTCACCACAGTTCAACAAAGTGATTAGCCTGAGAGTGAGATTCTATTAATTGGAATCTACCAGTGTGATAAATACTGTTAGATAAAATGCACCAGTCATCACAAAAACTTGATCCCCAATGGAATTTTTATTTTTATGTCGAGTGAGTAAATTTTTGGTGTGAATTTAAAAAGAATATCCGGACGGGTAATTGAATTTTCCAAAATAATAATCGACTGTCAAGTTATTAATTATTATGCAAACGCTAATTTATAAAAGCGAAAAAACGTGGGGAGTTCAAAACCGGGTTGGTCGTCAAAGTCAAGTGTCTTGTCTAAAACAATCTCGTGGAAAATCGACCAACATCGTTTGTTACAAAACGGATTTTTTTTTTTTTTTGAGAGGCTGACATGTCAATACGTCATTCTCAGCGCCTACAACAGTATTTGAAGCCGACTAGAGACGAATATACCAAAATGGATGTTTTCACAGCCGAATGACTAAAACGTGACACCGTGAAACCCTTTAAAACTGATGACGTGTTATTTAACGCCTATTGTTAAGGTACAGCCAACATAAAATGAGTTAAACGTTATAATTGGTAAATATTATACTAGGGTTAGATAATATAAAACGGTATCATGATAAAAAATCACTTTTAAATGAACGCTCCGATGCAAAACTGTAAATGGTAAAAATTATTATAGTAGCATGATAACAGTTTTGTTGACTTTTGTTATAACATGGTATCATATATATGTATAATTTTATTAAATTTTAAGTTAAAAATAATCTACCTACTAAACATTTTAAATTATCAATTGTAACATTTGTAATATTATCGTAAGAAACCAACAAAAATAATTTCGAAACATTCTTGCCTTACTCCCTTAGTCACCCTATTGACTTACAACATAATAATTAAATATTAACAAAAATCTCAATAAGTTTGACATCAGATTTTTGAAAACTGTGTATAATATACATATATTTCCACTGTATTTGTTATAGGGTCCCACTAGAACTAGTTACCTTCAGTCTAATTTTTGGAGTTCAAGTCTTCTAATTATACTAAAAAAATCGAAATAAGGAGAAGTTTCTACCTCTCCTGCGGTAAACCTTATTATTTTTGAAAAGTTATAGTATGCTTTAAGTTTTAAATAAAATGGTATACATTTTAATGGTTTTATTTCGATTTTAAAGGAGAGAGAGTAATATTATTTAATTTTTTTGGTATTTTTAAGTCCTATCGGGTACGATTTGGCGCTGTTACATAAGAAAATCGGGTCTGGTGTGTAAAAAGCTATAGAGGGTCAATAGACACACACACACAAAAACAAAATAAAGACAAATCATTGTAAAAGATATATTAAATAATTTTTTTATAAAAATATGATGTATCTATTTTCACTTATAAGTCACTATGTTAGTGATGTTTGAAACCACTTGTCATCGTTTAGTCATTTGGCAGATTTACTTATATTTCATGTGCAAATATGAGTGACTTACAAGTGAGACCTAACGGGTTTTTTTCGTAAGCCTGGACCAGTTAAAGTTTCATGATAAAAACAATACCCTCACAATTTCTCATCCAAGCTAAAAACTAAATACTTTTGTTTAATTTCAACATTTCAGTGTAGGCTTATAAGTATTCACACGGCGAATTTGGCTTTAAAAATAAATCGGAGACCTATTGTCCGCGCAGTGGACGTGATGGCGTCCGACGGGGTTTAATTTAAGTACGGAAATCCGCGAGTACCACGTATAATGGCGGTGAATGGATTTTTCGAAATTTTCCACAACATTATACTGCACACAAGTGCACGCCACGGCCGTTGTTGCGGGTTGCCTAATTAAAATGGTATATAATTTATGGTGGCGGCAGACGAGCGAATGAAAATTCATCCGTCTACCGAATGGTTTTTATTTAATTTTATTTATGATGCGAAAATAAGGGCAAAGGGGCCTCGGAAGCCGTGCTCGGCGGTTTTTTTCCCAGCCGTTTTCACAGTGATCATCGCGGCTCGTATGGAATGTCCCGGCCGACCATCGCCCGATGAACATCTTGGAACGTGGCGCGAGCAAACGGCATTCCGTTTAAATTAAAACCCTCTAGCCTTTTGCCTTATCCTCCGCACCATGAGAAGTACAGAGAAGCGGCACCTGAAAATTAAATTTACACCGTTGCGATCCGACCGCAATTTGCCGGCAATCTCTGTCGCCGCGAACCTAAGCTTTGAACACTAATAATAATTATTATATTATTTAAATACGCCGTCCGAATTTTCCAACTTTCCCCCCTAACACGTGTGCCACTTCGCGGTTCGGATAATTAAAAAATATCCTAAAGACATTATTGTACTATCTCATTCGGTCGGCCGGCTTTTAACCGCAATGCGTGTGTTTCCAATCCGACGATTTTGCGTACACTTACATATTGCATATAGGCGTATAATAGGGTTGTTGTAATTGTTTACTTCACGCTAGGTCCATGCAAAAAGGTTTCAATAGAAGAAAAGGTAATACTCTAATTTCTTGAGATGTTTATACTATACAGCGATTCTTTTATCATGGGCCCTTAATATCTCATAGGGTTTAATAAGAAATTGCATCTTTTTTTCATATTGTTGTTATACAATGTGATCTCGATTTTACAAAAGAAATGTTGTTTTTACCCCCTCCCAACTTCTTCATAAGTCATCATCATAGCATTAGAAAAGTGTACGAAAATTAAGTTTATACTCGTAAATTAAAATTAGGTATAATATTATAACAATTCTTTTGAAAATAAAAAAAATTATATTTACGAAATAAATTAAGTAAATTACTGTTTAGTAAATAACTTTAAAGGTAAGTAAGTTAACTGACTTCACCACCGTTTTTAACATAAAAATATAACATTCACGGAGAGAAAAAAATTGGAAAAATTGTTTGACCATGCCAAACTAATCGCTTAAAAAGGAAATCAATGATTCCTAAAAAAAAAAGCTTGAGTATTTTATTTTACTTATTGGAAACCGTTTGTAGACGACTCCAATATAAAAATTACTAGTCCTCCTTGTTTATACTCCTTAATTATTTGATGAATAATTAATGAATTCCTTGATGAGTTTCTTAGTTGTAAAACACTTATAGCATTATCAGACCCCGGACACTGATAGAAATTAATACGGGGAAGATAGTTATAACTTATAACACAAAAACGCGGCGGCCATATTCTTAAGGCTACACCACTATAATGTTGTTACTATATATTATTATTTTTGGTTGGGTATATAGGTATAACACATAATGCTAAGTAGGTCTAT